CAAGTTTTAATTTTGACATACGGAAAAACTTCTTTTGTTGCTTCAATAGCACCAATTTCAAAATCAATGTGTAATATTTCAATTTTAAAAAGTAGTGATTGCTTTTCAGATATTTACCGTGCACCTATAATCTGTGTATTTGGCAACAATGCTTAGAAGTAAAAATAATTTAGCACGCGCAATCGTACGCCTAAAAAGGTAACGCTGATAAGGACCGCGCGCAATCGTATTGCAGCCCTTTAATTGACCCGGGAACCAATTCCACGTTTGCCATGTACGGAGAAAACATAATATGCGGGTACGATCTATTCTTAATTAAAAGCTATAAATATAATATAAAACATAAACATTGAAATTGACTGATAACTGATTCTGCTATAAATAATTAATGAATATGGCTATATCACCATAATAATATGTGGAACATGTACATGGTATTATCTTATTTTCATGATTTTATTAGAAAATAATATTATTTTTATGTGTACAGACTACGAATAACCAATTGCCAATTGGTCATTAGCGCGCAATCAGTTATACACTATTACAATATTGCATGTATGTCCCCTACGCTGTTTTACACTATTGTAATATTTATTACTTGGGTTCGTATTATTCTTATCGTGTTCGCTGTTGTCTGATTGACGTTCCTTCAGATTGTTAATAATTGTATTGCATCAACCGTATACTCTTGTTTTTATTGTTTAAATTGTTTTAAATTGTAATACAATGAGTGATAGTGATTCTTCAACCGAAGTCGATCCGGTTGCAGATTTAGAAGAACCAATTTTACCACGGCCAAATTATCAAAAATATTTTAAAGTATTAAGAGTCATTGAGGTTAATTTTTTTACAAGAAGCTGAAAGTGAAGTGCTCAAGTTGTGTCGATACAAAGTGTTACAAGGTGGATTCAGGTTCAAACTCTAATAGGTATAAGAAAACATTTAAGCGTAAGTATAATGTTAATTTCATACCTGCCTATGACAGTTGACCCATCTAATATCTTGTGTAGTTGTGTGTTAAATTAATTTTAAGTACTACACAAATACCTAATGTATTACAAAAATGCATCAAAAACAGTGGCGCGCAGCTTTTTAAAAGTCAAATTTCAAGTGCTTAAGATGTATCATAGATCTCATTATTCAATATTATGTATTTTCCTGGGCCCCCACACGAGTCATCTCAAAGGGGCCCAGTATTCTTGTGTATATGAAATAAAATAAAATAAATACCCCCCCCCTCAAAAATAAATTTCAATTGCGCCACTGATCAATAAATGTAAATAATTTAGCAAAACTTATATTGTTAAGTAAAAGGTTATATTATTTCATTTTATTCAGACACAACATTCAACTATATTAAAGAAAATTAATCACATTGATAATGCAGCGAACAAAAACATTTTAAAGAGACGCAATGATGGATCATTGAAGCATAATGCTGGAAGTTCTTTAAAACAATCAGATAAATTAACTAGTTTTAGAAGATTTTTTGAACAACAAAAAATTAACTAGTCAAAGTAAGAATGTGTATTGTTTATTTTTATTTTTTGTTTTATTAAATATTTTTTAGTTGCAGCATTAACAAAAGTAGTTGATATTTTACATGACTACATGATTATATACTGATACATTGCTAGTGAACGATACGGTTGTTAATGATTTAGAAGAAATCGAAGCATTCAACTTGAACATTCTAAATGATGAAGACCATGATTTGCCATATGTATTACCAAAACACCATCGATGTTGTGTACACACAATAAATTTATTAGCAACAATGATAATAAAACATTTATTTAAGTAGATAACCTAATATAGTTAAATTATAAAATACTAAAAATATTTTTATCAAAAAGAATATATTTTAAGTAAGTATAGTGATCAGGACAAAACTATTAGATAGTAGGTTTAACACTTAATAATCATAATCAAATTTGTATGAGTTGTAATACATTTAAAAATTAAATTTTTCTTTCAATTTAAATAATAAAAATATATGAAAAAAATATTCCAAGATATAAGTATGAATATGATTGGCATTAACTATTTTCTATTATCTATACCCAAATTTCAATTTTAAATATCAATAAATTATGTTTGTTTAATTTTGTATTATTAATTACAAAATTGTACAAATTAAATACAAAATAAAATAATTTATTTGTATAACTTGTTTTTTCTAGGACTCTAAAAAAGCTTTGTCTAATCTTGCATACAAAAAACAGTCAAGAAGCACTTTTCCCAAGTCTACCGCTTTGTGGAATAAACAAGGTCGCTCAACTAAGTCAGCTGATTTATTAAAACAAAATTTTGGTGTTTATTTAATTACACCCAACGAGACAAGTTGGAATTCACTGTATGATGCAGTGAGGCTACTTAATAAATAAATTAAAAATAATGAACTTAAGTTAAGAATAATAATGGACAAATTGTTTTTTGGCAAGTAAATTGTAAATCTTAAAAAATTATTTATTATTTTATCTATATTTTTTATGAACAATATTTTCAGATTTAATAGAAGTGATATTTATTTCATGTGTCAATATCAAACAATTATGGGGCCAATTTCAATAAGCTTGGATTTACTCCAGGGTGATACTAACATGTACTTTGGTCATCTCCTACCTACAATTGAAGAATTAATTTATGAGTATGAATTAAAGACAAGTGATCAAACAGTTTCTAATTATTTGAAACCTCTAGTCACTGCCATACTTAATGGTATGTAATAATTAATATTTTTTAAATACATTAATCTTATTTAGCCAAGTACTTAAATTGTACACATTTAATTTATTTTCATTTTAGCTGTTTTTGGTTTACTTTATTGGTAAATTCTATTTACTAAGTAGTAAATATATAGTATCTCTTAGCTCTTACAGTCTTACTGATGTATAATGTAAAATTTTAATCAGCTGATCTATTATTTATATTAATATTTCTGTGTAGTGCCTACATTTATATACTCATGAGCTAAAATAAACAAACTTTATTGATAATAATTTTTATTTTTTTAGGTATGAAAACAAGGTTTGCCGATTATTTTGTAGACAAATTTTTATTTACTGCTGCAGTCTGCCACCCACTATTTAAAAAAGCATGGATTAAAAATAATTGGCCCCAGAATATTTAAAAAGTGACTGTTATGACTTACATACCAGCAATAGATAATTGCAATAATGATGTAGAAGATAACCATATGAAAGATAATATATCTACCTTTTTTTACTGGGTCACAAAATTCCCGAGAGGAAAAATCAACAGTTCGTGATGAAATAGATAGATATTTGGGCACATCTCCAACAGACTTTAGAATATTTGCATAATTTACCCACTATCAAAAAAGTAAGATTAGTTGAAAACTTCTTATACTATTAGTAGTAATATTACAAAAACATTTGTACATAGTTTTCAGGTGTTTGTGAAGCACAACACTCCACTACCTAGCAGTGCATCAGTAGAGAGAGTGTTTAGTGATGTTGATGCTACACAGATATTAAACTTCTTATAAAAATAAAAATAAAACATTGATAATTTCTACTTATTATCATACATTTACATTAGAGTCAATTACTGTTTTTTATAAAATACACCAACAAAGTTTTGGTTTTATTTTCTATAAGCCAAGTATTCAAACTTAATTTGTTTATTTTTTGGAAATATTTGTCTTCGGGTTAGATAAAGGTATTTATCTCGTTAATAACAATTAACTTCAGCTACTTTTGACAGTTGATGTAACAAAACTTACTATTTTACAAAACTAAATTATACAACAATCCCACAAATAAATAAATATTACAAATAAAACATTTTTAAAAAACAAATAAACAAATTTTGTATTTTTTGAACTTAATATTTTTATATTATGATTAAGGTAATTGCAATTTTTCTTATTCGTAGATATAAAATTATAAACAATAAAATAATATATGAAATTCTTAAAATATTATTTAAGAAATCAATTTCCATTTTCAATTTGCTAAAATATTTTTTAAAAAATAAAATGTCCCTGGATGATTGATTTACCCGACTTAAAGATTAAATTACACCATTTCACTGTCCAGCAAGTTGTCCATATTATTCTATTTATAAATATTTAATCTTTAATTACTGTACATGGTTTGTTGACTTATATTATTACTTTTTACTTAACTCTATATAGGATGTAGATGATTTTTATTTATTATCTTTTTGATATGCCAACAAAATAATTTTATTTACATTATTTAAATTGATATTTCATCCATTAAAACGAAAAAATGGAAATAATGACTACTTGGATAATGGATATTTCCTTTCTTATAAATAATTATTGTATATTCAAACCTAGTTTACTAACTTAAAACTTATATTAATGTTTGAACTAGAATTAAGTAATTTGATTTAATTTTGTATAATTATGATAAGAAACAACTCATCGAAGATTTGATTAATTCACAAACTTAACTTTTCAGGGGTCACATACAAATGATCAAGTTGACTTATGATTCTTATGATCAAAAGATTCACTGAATCAGTTCATCGAAGTAAACATGTCCTATCTTGACTACTCAACATTGTATTCTTCAGTTCATATAGCAATATAATACTACAAACCTTAACTAAAAAATCTATATAATTATATTTTCAATTTCAGCTGTATAATTTTTTTTTTAATACAGATATAAAATCACATTTTTTTAATAATTTATCCATTATTTATGTGTCTATATCGTGTAACTAATGTACCTACTACCTTAAACATATAATATATACAGATTTTAACAAGTAAATGCAATTTTTAACTGTTATATGGCTTATAAGTTTGAAAAAATTTACAACTGATATTAATTTATGTATGTTTTGGAAACTGCTTTAAAAACAAAAAATATTACGAATAATTGTTGTTGAACATATACTTAAAAGCATTAAACCGTGTTCAGCATTAATTGTTACATCTTAATGTTATTGGAAATGCATATCACTTGGATCATGTGTTACTATATCAGCATGGTACGATGTGACATGTCACATGTGACTTATTATTTAGGTACTTAATTTAACAACTTTTTTGACATTAACTAATTCAAATTGGTCTAATAAATTCATATGTACCTAACTAACAAACCGAAAATGTTCATGATTTTTTTTTTTTAATACTACCTATTTTAAGAAATACCCACAGCGACCTCTGTAAAGTATAAACTATACTTGTAGTACTTAATTTGTAGGGTAAGTTTTTAAAATATAAAACATTAAATATAGGTAAATACGAGGGAAGTGATACATTTTTTTTCCCCCGGCACTTACCTTTAGACTGTATACATGTTATATTATTTATTACACTATAGTGTAGTAGTATAATATAACCACATAGTTTTGTAGCAAATACATCTTTGACTGCACACTATTATAGAATAATATTGTTTAATAATATATTAATGCCGAGCCCAGAGAGAATATTATATTCACGATTAAAGTATCCATTTTTTTATTACTTCTGTAAATTTCAAAGCCTAATTTTGAATTTTTTTCATGTCTCGACACTTCTAGAGTTTTATATTAAGTTATAGTTTAACCGTTAAGACTAAAAACAATATTGTTAGATGCAGGACGTAAAAATTGACACTCGACAGTAGTGTATCTAGAAATCTAAATGGCCTATACTCAGGTGCCGTGTTCTGCATTGTATAAATTTAAACACTCCCAATAATATTCGGTTTCGGAATTTGAAATAGAAAATGTATTGTGTAATCTAAAGAAGTCAAAAACTCGAAAACTGATGACAACATATATTATAATACCTATCATCTATGGCAAAATCCGATCGTCGTCACTCACCGGAGCCGATTCGCAATTCTAATAATTTCATTGAACAAAAGAGAAAAGTGTATGGTGACAATGAACATTCACTCGCATGTTTCATTCTACTCTCGATTTTTTCAATTCGGATTTAAATGAAGGAAGAAGTTCCTCAATAGGGCGTCTGCATTCAAGATATGGCGCCTTGCAGCTATATATTACCCGGAGAGTCGATGTATACGTAAGTTTGATTACTTATTCTTTTGGGGCTTAAATATTTTACTTTTTAGTCTCAAAATTAAAATTGTATTTATTACCCGTGTGGAGTAGGGGCATATTTTTTGTTTCCGAGCGCGCAACACAAAAAAATACGGTATCACAAACGACAACGGCATATCCAGGTGGCAGAATAATAACATATTTATAAAATTAAACAGATATAAATAGTGTTGTACATACTAGTCATATTACAGTGGTACAGTATTTGAAAGTTCTTATGTCCCTCAAAATTCAACAATTTTTATTTTTAGTTTATATAAACGTTAAGTAATATATTAATATTACTATGCCGTCTGCTTGTGGTCGAACCTCAAATTAAAGTGACGCCGTCGTACATCAAACATCAAATTATTTTATAAAGCTGGGAAAGTCACTCTGCTGATTATTGACTATCCTTCGGAAATTAAATAAGAAAATTTTAAAATTTAAATATTCTCGAATAACTTAAAATGTACCTAACCAATGCACTCAAAATGAATACGTAAAATATTAATTATTAATTTCGTGCTCGGCAGAATTCAGTGAAAAGATTTAACTTGGAATTTTTCAAATTATAGTTGATTAGTCGGTATACGGTAAATGAGTGATGCATTGGGCACCTACCTTTATGTTAAATCTAAAAAGTAATAATCACATTTATTTACAATACGATTTTAATTTACTAACTCATAAAAAAAAATTCTTGTGCTTCGAATATTTAAACACCACCTTTATCAATTATTAAATTAAAAATTAAAATAATAGATACTTTATATACTGTTGTAACCTAAATTTTAAAATTATAAACTATTTTGGTTATTGTTATATCTTATTTCATTATCGTAATGATCAAATCTCAAATACGGACTCTTTGATATAAAAATTTGTAATATAATATCTATCTATGGTTTTATCATATTGACGTAGTATAAATTATAATGCAATCCGTGGCGATTGTCTAAGTAGTTACAAAGACGTAATCGATCTAAAATTTCAATTAGCCAGCAAAACTTAAGTTCAGTCATAGATATCTGATTTATTCGGTATTCCGCAGTCCACACACAATAATCAGGGATTCCGCCGAAGCCCGAAAGCATCGATGTTTAGAGTAATTAATTTTGGTTTCATATTTTTTTGGTGGTTAAATTTAACTTTTTATACTTCAAATAAAAATTTATTTTCATGAAAAATATGCTACCCCTATGTAGACACATATTTTATTTTTGAAAGTAAATGCATAAAATACGAGAGTCAAATAATATACTAACGCCCCTCGTCGTCGTCGTTTTTCTGCTTCCTGATGGTAGTGTAATTTTATAATTATAACTTATTTTTAAGTGCTTGAAATAGACATACATTATACGGTTCAATTAAGAAATACAAGTTATGAGTGATTAGTGAAAATGTTCACAGAGTGGTAAACTCACTTCCTAACCAGTAACCACCCCGTACAAGGGATTATAAAAAATATACTTTAATACTGGCATAGATATCTTTATAAAATATTGTGTAATATATAGACACAGGCGTTTAAGTATCCTAAAATTTTGTATTTATTTAAACCTAGGTGTGTACGAGCTAAAAAATTTAAGTTATTTAAATTTTAACTGTTTAGCTTTTTTAAGATTTCGAGCGGAGCGATGAATGTATTGATTTTACAATTTATTTTCTAAAGTTTTTTGTTCCTGTCTTCACGTTAATAAGTATAAGTCACGAGAATGTGCAAAATATTTTGAGTTAGAAATTCATAAAAATGTTTCGTTTTATATCTAAATTTTTAAAACTTAATACAAGATCGTTTATAAGTTTGTCCGCCTTTATCAAAAAAAAAAAAAAATTCTACCGGAAAGTCGCATTAAATTTTTATAAACATTTGAAGTTGACATTTTGACAACATTGGATATTCACTCCATTTCTCATATAGTGATTTTTACTTATTTTATTATAATAGCAATACCAATAATTGCAGATATTTTCAATTCACATAATTTGTTTATATTTTCAATTACAATTTGAATTTTGAATTTTTTTAGTTTATTTAGTTTTTTTTTCAAATTGTATTTGTTGGGCAAAAAAACTTGAAAATTCAATAAAATTCTCCTGATAGATATTTAAAATATTAGTTAAAATTTATTGAAAATACATAGGCACGATTTTTGTAATGAGCATTTAAAGTTTAAATTTTAACAAAATCCACATCATTTATAATGTACAAATAATTTTATAATTTAAAATTTTTGAAATATTCAACTTTTGTAGGTTAGGGTTGAAAATTCAAAACAAAGTACCAAGCAAGTAGGTTATTCTGTTATTAAAAATTCAAAAAAATATTATCACATATTTTTTATGTTAACTAAATTAAGGATTAAATTGCCAAGAATAATGATTTATGTTATTTTGTTGTAAATTAAAAATATTATTCGTGGGTAATTGAAACTTTTAAAGTAACTATATTATTATATTTTATACCCACAACGACTTTTCAAATGTACTTCCTGTTTCCAAATAAATTTTAACTTAACTGAATTAAAAATAAAATTAGGAGAACTATATATTAACTTAAAACTTTTTGAAATGTTTCATATTGAATTAATTTAACTCGGTTAAAAATTTTTATTAACTCGCCCAGGCTTGCATTTATTACTATACTAAAACTAAATTATTTTATACATGTAGGTACTCTCATAACATATTATCTAACTCTAATTTATTGCAATAATTATTTATTTTCTTAAACACAATATTTCAGGAATTAATATATTATAAAATAAACTAATAATAAAAATAATTGATTTGTACGATATTTATAAAATATTGAAATAAAATAAACACACATACTAATCAGTAATTATAACTAGTCCCGGTGTATTATACTATTATTAAAATAAAAATGAACCAGTAGCAGAGTTCTAGTAGATAAATAACTTGCCGTGCCTATAGTGAAGAAGTATGACTTTCGTAAGGTATAAAACTTATATGTTATTCAGTTATTGAATAAAATAGTTGAGATACAAATAAACATATAATAACTACGTATAGGTAAGATAAAAGCTACAACTTAAAGAGATTATTTTAGATATATAATATCTGTAATTTCTAATAACAAATAGCTCATACGCATATTGTTGAACATTTTACTATATAGGCTGCGTTTTTTTTTCAGAGATGATATTCGTCAGTGAAAATTTGCCAATTTTGAATACAATGTCATAATATGCAGTGTGAAATGTGTTGACGTGAGTGTTTCAAAGACTTAGTTGTATAGCAGAAAACATATGGTATGTACTTTTTATTTAACAGTATTCAGTAGATTTATTTAATATTGTTAAATGATCAGAGTTTGTATTTCCCCCAACTTTTCAATTTAATTGTGTTGTAACTACTGGTATAACGCTATTCCGGCTATCAATAAAATTATGATAAAAATTATGAAATTGGTCAGGTATGAAATTTATTTTATTTTTTGTTTTAAATTTGTTTTTGTAATATTTAAATATTTTCACCGATTATCAGGTATGATGACCTGTAGGCACTATAGAGACTGTGTGTGAGAGAGAAAGAGAGGTAGTGAGATGGAAAAAAGGGGGGAGTATAGAGAGAGAGAGAGAAAGAGACAAAGAGACAAAGACTGAGTGAGAAAAAGTGGGTGGGGAGAGAGAAGGGAGAGCGAGTGTGACTTGTATGGAGGGAGAATAGGAAGTGTGGAGGTAGAGTAGTTAGGTTAACAATGTCGAATACTTAGGAAAGGTACTTGAATTGCAAAGGTGACTAGACCAATCAGCTGAAAAACTACCTAGTGATAGGTTGAAAACCTTGACTTATGGGATAGAATAAAAAGATTGGTAGAGGATGTCAGAGCACTATTTGTTTGCTCCCTGTATCCCACGCACAACAAAGCAATTAATGTATCAGAGCCAAATATATATTGTTACTTTAATAATGGTTGGTTCTGCTAAACATAAATTTGCTTTGTTGC